TAGGAATAAAAGAGATTTGTATTATAAAAAAAGATGATAACGCGTTATTCATAAAAAATATTGTAAAAGGAATAAAAGGAATAGACCAGTGGTCCGGACCACGCATTTGTATTTTAAGAGGAATAAAAAGAATAGACAATGACGAGGAAAAGAATTTTATTATTAATGACTATCATCTGCTACCAACAAGCGGACACGCTGGGGTACGCAGAATGATTAATAATATAAAACGTAAATTTTACTGGCCAGGAATCGAAAATGACGTCAAGAACTTCATCCAAAAGTGTGAGAAATGTCAGAAAATGAAACATTCCAGATATGTTAGAGAACCAATGGTTATTACAACCACAGCAAGTTATGCTTTAGAAAAGGTATTCTTAGATGTAGTAGGCCCATTAGATATAGATTTAGAAAATAATAAGTACATATTAACAATTCAATGCGAGTTAAGCAAGTTTGTTGAGGCTTATCCTCTTAAAAATAAGGAAACCGTAAGTATAGCTAAAAGTTTTGTGAACAATTTCATTTTAAGGTTTGGGATTCCCAAAACAATCACTACAGATCGTGGCACAGAATTCATCTCGGAAACAATGGAACAGGTATGTAAATTACTTAACATAGAAAAACTAAACTCTACCGCATACCATCACCAAACCATAGGTTCACTTGAAAATGTACATAAACATCTAGGTTCATTTTTACGACTACAGTGCGATAATCATCCAGAAACATGGAGCCAATGGCTACCATTTTGGTGCTTCACATATAATAATACAGTTCACTCTAGTACAAAATATGCCCGTACGAATTAGTTTTTGGTAAACCCTGTGAAATACCAAGTAGAATTTTTTCTAATATAGAACCATTGTACAATCCTGATAACTACAGTTTAGAATTAAAATACAGGTTACAAGTAGCTAATAGAGATGCCAGAGAAAACTTGTTAAAGTGTAAAGAGAAAAGAAAACAAATTTATGATAAAACTGTAAATCAAATAAAGTATAATCCAAATGATATGTTGTTAGTAAAAATGAAACAGGAAATAAATTAAAACCTTTATATGACGGCCCATATATTGTAATAGAAGAACAAGAACCAAATGTAAAAATCATGAAAAATGGAAAAATTGATGTTGTTCACAAAAATAGAACAAAATTATTTGTTAAAGATAAATAAATTTTATTATGTAAGCTTAATTTAAGTACATTTAATCTTTACATGATTAAGGATTTAGCATTTAACATTTATGTTTGGCAATTAGCTGTAAGTTCAAAAAAAAAAATGTAATCTTTAGATTTAATTTTTTTTTTCTTTTACCCCGGAGGTGAAGTGGGGTATACCTTATTGTAGTTAGTAGTTAGTGGGTCAGATTAAAGAGCACCGTGAAACGAGACAGACGTATTGTTTTATTTTACACTAGCTCCCCACACCTCAGTATTAATGGCAAGCTACAAAATGTGTGCCGTGACTATGTGTAGAAGTTCGAGTATTAAAAATCAAAAAAATGTAACATAATAAAATAAAAACTGCGTTTAAAAAACCGACTTCAAAAACCAAAAACTAATAACAAACAAAAAGTCAATACTAAAAAGCAAAAAATAACTATTATTAGTACTGATAGGTTACCCACCCACTGATAGGTAAGAAGTCGGTGCCATAAGTTCCATACAAAATTATTCATTAAAACCTTAATAGGTATCTAATTCACAATTTTGTGGACATTAAGTTATATCATTATGATATGAGCTTATGGCACCGACTTCTAACCTATCAGTGGGTGGGTAACCTATCAGTACTAATAATAGTTATTTTTTGCTTTTTAGTATTGACTTTTTGTTTGTTATTAGTTTTTGAAGTCGGTTTTTTAAACGCAGTTTTTATTTTATTATTTTACCATTTTCAGTGTAAAACTCAAGGTAGTTACTGTATACCGTTGAGGAGTTCCCTTAACAATTACACTTCTTCATCATCAGACCCTTAATGACAGCCCCACTCTATCTAGGTGTAAAGTCCTCATCAATACAAATTAATTAAGCCCAAACACAAGGTAGTTAATATAAACCACTGAGGAGTTCCCTCGACTGTCTGTCGGCTCCATCATCAGGTCGACTCCAAACCCTTATTAAATTGTAGTGTTTAAAATTCGTAATTGAAAAACATAATAGACGCATTACTCCCCCATAGAATTTTCGAAAGTTCCCCTCGGTTTCCCTAGGATCCCATCATCAGATCCTGACTTCATGGAAATGGGACCATCTCGGGAGTATACCCTTTCAAACGAAACAAAAATTTTCAAAATCGGTCCACAAACGGCGGAGTACTGCGCGAACAAACAAAAAAAAAAAAAAAAACAATCAGCCGAACATAGTACCTCCTCCTTTTTTTGAAGTCGGTAAAAAACTAATACTTTTTTTAAAAATTGTATTTGAATGTAAAATTTGGGTGTTTTTTTGTCTAATCAACATCGTTAAAAAATATTCACTGGGCATAAGGGGTGTTAAGGGGTCTCAAGGAGCAACCGAGGGCTGGGCTCGCTGGCACTGCAGCGGTAAGTCCCCTCTTTGAGGAGTGGCTTGAGAGACGCTACGGCGTCCTCACCTACCGCCTGACGCAGGTCCTCACCGGACATGGAAGTTTCGGGAGGTACCTGTGTCTGATGGGGCGGGAGCAAACACTGCGAGGACCGCCCTGCGTGGGCTGAGCACCGCCGTGCCCTCAGGGAAGTGATCGGCGATGGCGACCTCTCGCGTCCGGGCCTAGTGCGGGCCATGATGCGGAGCGAGGGGGACTGGGATGCCGTCTCCTCCTTTTGCGAAGCAGTCATGCTAGCTAAGGAGGAGGCGGGACGCGTGAGGCAGCGAAGCGCTGCCTCCTCACAACCCAGCCATCGCGAAGGACACACCGGGCGTCCGGGCACCGGATCGCGAGACGATCTCCGGCCACCGTAAGCGCGGGACTGCGGACGGCGAGCATGTGGCTCCCCGTCCGACCAGAAACAGACCCGAGCGTACGGCGCGTCGCGTTCCGCGCGCGCCTCAAAGAGCCATCAGACCACCACAGATGGGGCCCAATAGAGCTGTTGCCGATTCGGAGTCGCGGAGAACCTAACGGGTAATCGGGGCTCTGGCTCGACGTGCAAGAGAAGGAACCCTGGTTTTTAGTCAGTAAGAGTCTGACACTCCCTTCCGCCTCACCGAGGCGGGAGCAGTCATTCGATGATTTTCCCCCCATAAAAAAAGGGGTCTCAAGGAGTGGCAGACGACCCTTTCTATCGAACATTTCAATTTGGCACACGATGCATCAAACACCCTTTATATTGGGTTGTAAGTTGTCTCAATAAGGTGCACTATTTACTGGACACCCTGTATAAGTTGATTTCGCAAAAAACATCGCTTACCCTCTTTTGATAGGCATCGATATAGACTACCAATTTAAGATTAGTGATAAACATGGTTAAAACCATTCATTGTCAGGTCAAGGTTATTGGTAGAAGTCAACTAGGACAACCCTGGGACAACGTTTACTTATTTGTTTTTTAAGAGAAAAACTTAACTTTTTTTAGTAGCACGCAGTGACGCTTATAGAAACGATTTTTTAATAAATCCTGGACTGCGAAGAAAGAGCACTAATGATGTCTATGAATATTATAAAAAATACCTATCGTTTAGCGTTTATTGTTATGTAGATAACTACGTATCGCCCGTGCAGTATTGTGTAGTGTAGTCCCGCATCGGATTAGTTTGTCGCAGGTTCACCATATAATATGGATTTAAAACAAACTGGGGGCGGGCTTGTGCAAGCCGGTGACATCTCGAGCGCGCGTGACCGCACGACACCGTCCGCTGCTCCTCGCATCCGAACTAAATTACTTTTAACATTAATAAACCATATTGCTCTAATTTACTTTACTTTCTCCTTCTTTTAATAAGCCCTTGGAAAAACTCCCGGGTAATGTGTACCAGTTGTTTTTTACGTCGCCCTGACGTCGGGCGGTTTTTTTCAGTTGCGATTTTTTGTGTAACTAATTGTTTAGTGGGAGCAAATTTGACTCGTGGACATGGATGATAAGGACAGAGCACAAGCCATGCTGTTGGCGGAGGAGGAGATCAACAGGGTACGTACACACGCTGTATGTGGAACGCACACTAGCGTTCGTGCTGCGTTCGTGCCGATATTTATGACTTACGATCATCGTTTCCACACATACTTTAGGTACAAAGTAGGAAACTTTTGAAAGCAGTCATAAAGATTTTAATTTGATATTCGTTGTATGAGACGGTTGTTGGATCATATTATTATGGAGATGTCAGCGTTATCTGTCGTAATCTGAAGCCAGTTTTTTATCTATAATAATGAATTTGAGTTCAAGATCTTACAAATGGTATTGTAATAATAGAATTTATGAACATAAATCTTTACCTTTAACTTAGTTTAGTGTAACAATATACTACCACATACACGGATAGACATTATCAGGACATATACATAATTTTATAAAAAAAAATCCTTTATACTTTCATATATATGTGATTCTGTCAACACACAGTTATACTATCCTGTATGCGATTACTATTTTTTTTTATTTTCATGTTTATCATTTAAACTCATGTTATAGAAGGCAAGGTAAAATAGAAGGAAGTCATGAGACTGTCAGATCTTAAAAACTAAATGGAGATTAATTGGAATCAGTCAATACTATGCTTGGATAGAAACTCCCCGATCGTTCCTGGACGCATTTCTCCCTCGATGAGTTCCTGCTGCATCCTTCTAATGGTGTCTTTAATGAAAGGGGTCATCACCCATTCACGGGACGCCATGAATTTGGCCCATTTAACAGGGGAATTACTTCGGATAGTCAACCCGTCGGACTCTGTATCGTGACTTTCCCCTGCTACCAAAACCTGTTCTCCGCTTGGTGTAAACTGGAGGGTCTGCATATGGTTTCTTTTGTGGATATAGGCAACTAAGAAGACATTTGCCACAGTCCCCGGGACTCCGTACTACAGGTTCATTCTGGCGTGCCTGGATCTTTCGAGTCCCAATAGAGCACCCACACCATGGACAAAGAAGAAGTAAGATGGATTTATCACGGTGGAATATGCTGATTTCTTTACTAACCCCATATCCGATTGATAGGGGAAATAAGATGTTCCGTCCCCTGCCTCCTCTCCTGTCCTACTCATTCTAATGAGATCCAGTGCAACGGGTTCATAGGTAATCCAGGCTGGAACCTCGTCAAGATTTTCAGATCCTATGATGCGAAGGAAGAATCTTATTGACAAAAGCGAGGCACAACAGTCTCTATACCTAGAGGAGATGGTACCCACCCTAGCGGCGGAGAATGGAGCCTTAGGGAATCTATGGAGGAACATATCAATTCCAGCGATCATCTTGATGTAGTTGATATCAGTTAACCAGTTGCCCACTAAAGCGATCAATGCGTCTGGCTTGGGTATGTCCTCTGGGATCCCTACCTACCTATTGGAGACCTGTCCTTGATAATTGGCATCGAATATAAATCGCATCCGGTAGATACTGCAAAACATGACTAGCAGACACACGTCTGATTCAACTTGATCCCCCCCTTTATTTGCAGATGATGGAGCGGGGTGGTCCCTGGTGATTACCGAGAACAAGTCCCAAACGGTCACATTGTCATTTATGTCAGATATTGTGATTCCATACGAAACCCAAAGCGACGGATTGACCCCATGGTCAATCCGTCGCGGAAATAGCCATCTATTTCTTTCAAATACAAGTGTGATGCTCTGACGGGTCTTAATGAATTTGAGAGTTGACATGTCGGTGATTTAACAATTGCAATTATTACATATTTGAGACTTACTACTATCAATTGTACTCCACACAATAATTATGATTTAAACACAGTACAATATTTATGCCCGTATATGAAATGCCCGTATATGAGACACTATATAAAACACATTGTCTCGCGTGGATCCACGTTTAGACACACGACGGTTTTAAACAGTATTAAAAAGTATTATGACTTAAGCACAGTAATATGATTTAAATACATAAAAAACTTAGCTTATATTGTATGGTAATCGAGATTAAGAGTGTGTACCTTTTTTATTTCTTTTTTGTTTATTTTTTTGTGGGGAAACCTTCAAAGGGCGCCTAGCTTTTTGGGGAGAAAGACCAGGGAGTGTGAGATTCTTACCTCACTAAAACCACCCCGGTGGCCACCCTCAGTACCTGTAAGGGGCACCGGGTTTTCTGAAGAGACCTGCTCCAGAGCCCCCACGATGCAACGCCTGATACAGCACATCCCTAGGGAGACGAGCGCGTCCCTTGATCATCGTGACCACTGTGCTACCGTCTTCCCTGAGGCCACTAGATGGGCACCTACTCTCTACACCCGTGGCCCCTAAGGTCCGCCGAACTGGCCGTCGGACAAGTCCGGCCCAATGTCCGTCAGGTGCGCGACGAGGCGGTTCGAAATGATTCTTTCGAAGACTTTCCCCACCTCGTCGAGCAGCACTATGGGCCGGTACGCGGACGGAGAGTCCGCAGGGCGCCCCGTCTTCCGCACGAGGACCAGTTTCCCCGCTTTCCAGAGAAGCGGGAACTGGCCTCTCTCCAGACATGCGCTGTAGAGACCAATCAATCGAGGCCCGAGATCCTCTGAGGCCAGGACCCATGCTTTGCCATGCAAGCCGTCGGGTCCTGGGGCGGTGTTCTTGGCGCCCATCCGGCGCACCGCCGCTCTCAATTCTGCCTCGGTCACCTCTGGGATGATGTCATCGTCGTCGTCGCTATAGCCCGCGTCGGGCACCGCAGGGGGCAGAGTCATATACGGAGGGGTGAAGCGCCCCCGCAATCGGGGGAACAGGGCGCCAATCACCTCCTCCAAGGCCGCCTCAGCCTAACGAACGCCACTCCGGGCACTCTACCGCCATTTCGGCGGACAGTACGGATTTGATCGTAGATTTTTGCGTCCATATCCGCTAGTATGTCCAATGGCGGAAAGCGAGCCAGGAGAGTTGCCGCCTCAAAAGACACCGTTCGGTACCCACGTGCGATACGGATGGCCATTTTCTGCTGCAATCGATAAATTTTCGTTCTACAGCGTCGGACGCCTGACAGTCGAGCTGACTAAAAAGGCGCCCTATAAAGGACCATCGATCGCACGACGTAGAGGCGGCGAACTTCTTCACGAGGTCCCCCAATGTTAGGCAGCAATCTATGCAAAGCACCCACTGCTTTTTCGACTCGTGGGACCAGGCGTTCGAAATGCTCTTCGAAGCCCCACCGACCATCCAAAGTTAGGCCTAGATACTTTATGTATCGGCATACCTGAACTTGCGCATCTCCAACTATTACCGATGAACTGGGTGGCTCTCTGGTTCTCGGCAGCTTATGGAACCATAGTGCCTTAGTTTTGTGAGGCGCTATTTCCAGACCCAGTCCTCGAATTGAGGCCACGATTTTTGCCACCCCGAGCTCAGGAAGCCGGATGGCCCCCTCGAAAGTACTCACGCTGGCCATTACCAGAGTGTCGTCTGCATAGCAAACCACATGAACACCAGCGGGAAGTTCAGCACGCAGGACCGTATCGTAAGCGAGGTTCCACAATGAAGGACCCAGTACAGATCCCTGTGGAACTCCGCACGTAATCAGCCTCCGCTAAACGTTACCGTCCCGGCCCACATAACGAATGTGCCGGTCGCACAGGTAAGCCCCAACAATATTCTGCTAATAGGGAGGAATCCTGTGATTTAGAAGTGCCTCCCTGATTGCCTTCCAGGGTAGGGAATTGAATGCGTTGACGATATCCAGGCTTATCGCCATTGCAACCCCACCCCTGGAAACTGCCTGATCCGACAGCGAGCAGACACGTAGTATTGCGTCTATGGTAGAACGTTGCTGCCGGAAACCATATTGACATTTAGACAGGTCGGGACCAACTCGCGACAGGTGCCCGATGAGGCTTTCAGCAATCACTCTTTCAAAGAGCTTGGAAATCTCATCGAGCAGGCAGATGGGACGATATGCAGAGGGAGACTCCGCGGGCCTGCCTTGCTTCTTCAAGAGGACCAATCCGGCCTCCTTCCATAGAATAGGAAACACGTTTGTTTGGAGGCAGCTGTAGAACAGTCGCCTTATACGACCCCCTAGGGCATCGAGAGCCACAACCCCCACTCGGCCAGGAACACCATCTGGGTCAGGTGCGGTATTACGAGCACTCATTCGACACGCGGCTCGGTCCAACTCCCCTTCAGTAACCCCCAAATCAGAGGACCACTCTGACGGTAGGGGCAGTGAGGGACTGTCGTTCACTACTGGGAAGAGTGTGTTTATCACCCTCTCCAGTAGGTCCGGATCCATAGTCTCCGTAAGGGGAGGAACCCACGGACGGAGTTTACCCATGACCAAACGATATGGTTTCCCCAAGGATCCCTGTTCAGCCCCTCGAGGAGTTCTCTCCAGGACCGAGACTTAGTATCTAAAATGGCGCGCTGGAGTGCCATTGTTCCCTCCCTGTACTCTCTATATGCCTCGGTTATCTGTTCTTCAGTGTCCCTCGGTTGTGCGTCGAGCGCGCTGGAACAGGCGTCGATACCTAAGACAGACGCACATGTGCAATGTCTGCCGACCACCAGTAAGCCGCTCCAGGACGCTGACCGCTGATTCGGGGCATAGGAGCGTCACAAATTGACGCCATTTTGTCCCGAAACCAGGCTGCCTCCCCATCCAAAAAAATGTGGTCAAGTTGTGCCTTAACCAATTTTGTGTGTTCCATCCTTGTCGAGGGGAGTGCTAACCGTCTCTCCTTTCAATAGACACAATAGTGTGTACCTACCAAATATTAGATTGATTATCGACCAAAACGGGTTACAATTCTAATTCCTTGATATACATACAAACGGAACAAGCTAAATAAAACCGTTTAAAATGTAGTTTTGTTTCGAGTCTGTAGGTGAGTTGTCAGTTTGCTATCTAAACAGGGAGCTCGCTTTTCCGAAAATTCGTTAAAAAATCCTGTTCTTTTGTTGATTACATTTTACCTATTTGTGAAAATGTGTGATGTCTTGTTTACTCAGCTGTGTTAAAAATGGGTCCCGTAAAAGTAAATTGTCGATTAAAGTCAGGAAACAGCATCCGATGCTTGCTCAAACCGGCTGCTGGTAGGAACGCAATACAAGAAATAAAAGGCAAATATTGGTAACTAGCTTCTGCCCGCGACTTCGTACGCGCAATCCCGATATTTCCGGTTCCCGTTCTTGATTTTCGATAAAAAGTAAAAAAAAAGAATTGGGTAAAAAGTATCCTATGTCCGTCTCCTGGTTCTAAGCTACCTCTCCACCAATTTTCATCCAAATCGATTTAGCCATTCTTGAGTTATAAATAGTGTAACTAACACGACTTTCTTTTATATATATAGATTGGGATGATGACAGGGTGTGAAAATTAATAATCTAATTAGTCCGTAAGTTAGGTAATGAAAAAGACACGTATTTTTTTATTTTGTCGTATAATAAAACAATACTGCGATAAAACGAATCACAGGTTAAAACGTCATTTCTACTTATAAAATGTACATAGAAGTGACGTCCGCGACATTTCAAATCAATATATCGTCGAAAGTATTTGTTTCTGTAAGAAAATAAAAAATACGTGTCTAATGATTTAAAATAATCTACCAGATGGACATTAAAATTAAAATTAGGCATCTACCCTATTTGAAGTATTTATTTCGACATGTCTCAATATTTTATTCCTCGTGTATTTTGTATTACAGTTATTGTCCAAGTGCATTGCCACTCTTTTCTTCCCCCAAAGTTTCATCTGTATTTATTTACATTTGTTTTAGTGTTAGTAGAAAAATTGGAACAAAAATAACAAGATATGCTCGTCTTTTTTATTTTCGTTTATTATTTTCCCCGTCGGGTTTATCCCACCATGTCGAATGCAAAAAGTATTGAGTGAAAATAATGCAACATTATCTGTTCTGAGTTTGTTAAATACTTCTGCCCAGAATTCTGTTCGACTAGTAAATGTATAAATATGACAACTTATGTAATAATCTTGGGTCATATAACAGTACAATAAAATGTGTGTTATCTAGACAAAAAAGTAGGTTTTGGTCTAACTTGTCGTCGGCAACAAATAAAATAGGTTTCGAATTCATTGAATAACTTGAGTGTGGTGTTCTACCACCTAAATTCATATGAGACTAGCCTTTATACTGTGAACACTATCCAGACTTGTGGTCATGTAGAATTTTATACAATTGACATAGGAAAGTGACAAGTGTGTGAATCTTGTTTATCTCATTGTGATGATGGATCTCTTCATTATTTGATTCGAATGTTGTCTATCGCTTCATAAGATCTGATATCGTGGTATTTAATATTAATCAAAATTTCTGTAGTTAATAGAGTGCATCCTCCATCCTCAAATTCCTAATCCTCAACGGTAACGCACTTGTAACGCCTCTGGTGTTCCGGGTGTCTATAGACGACGCCGTTTGCTTACCATTAGGTGATCTGTCTGCTCGTTTCCTAGCTTATCCCATAAAAAATTAGTAAAGAAACCAATTCGCTTTGTGCAAGTGTCTCTAAACAAACACAAACCGTCATCAATATAACAACAAAATATAAGTATGCATGCCTATAACCAATTCACGTTTGATGTAAAGTAATTACCCTTCGCTCCACCCCCATAAACACCTAGATAGAATGTTTTGTCGATAGTTTTACACCTTCACCGTTTTAGTATCTCTCATATGGACAGTTGAAATCGCTTAAACAAGGTAAACATTCTTTTGGTGTTC